GGGTGGGGGGGGGAAATTAGACGTGCAGCAGGGAAACAGTGCTAGCAGATACTGCTTCAGTCCCTGCTTGCACCAGTCCAACTGCTGTGCCTCCGCCTTTTTAAATGTAGCAAGAGTTTCAGGTGGCTCTTGCTACTTTAAAAAGGCAGAGCTGAAGCATGGATAGCAAGAGCCCCTCCACTAATCGAGTAGTTGATTAATCAAATGTTAACATCCATAATGCATGGTAATAGATTGTAATGACCATCTGCACTTCTCTTCTCTGCTTCCTTACAGCAGAATAAAGTCACTTGATTAGACTGGCTAAGAATTGGAATATTTTGCTTGACACCTAGCAGGATTAGCTGGCAGTTACCAGAGGGCCAGACTCTAGAGTGATAACTTCTGTTTGTGCATGATTCATAAAACAGTGGGACTCTGGATATTCTAGTTATGCTGGTTCAAAGCAGTGATTTCTATGAAAACCTGGAAACAAAACGCTGCTGTAGTGGTGTTATATGCACCCAATCTTCTTCTTTGTACGAAAAGCTTCACAGTAGGTAAGTCACAACGCTACATTTCTTAAAGAAACAAAGCCCTTCCTGACAGATGTCTGTGCCCTGCATCCTGTGGATGGATGGTTTAATCAACAGATGTAAAAGCAAAGCATCTCTGCACTGTTGAGAATCTTCATGCTTGACCAAGGCTGCCATTTCTCATCATGTTAATTACTTGGTAGCAGGAGTCCAAGCCTTTTAGAATATGCACTAATGTGAAATCTACTGGTGGTGTAACAGTTGACCATTTGGAGCTCCAAGCAAGCTGTTATGCTACACTTCTCCGGGCTTGAGCATCGAGAATTCTTATCTCATCCCTTCACCAAATAGAATGATGCATTTTGCTCATGTATCAACCATGAAAGAGCAGACAGCAAGATGTTCATAGGTTCCAACATGCCCTAGCATGCCTCCGGGTACTATAAAATACCAATTTGCTATGGGTAATGCTTCTAGTGGCAGTTATGTGGCTCAAGAGAGAATTGCCCCTGTTGCTACTAGTTGTTTTGCTGTTCAGGCAGAGCAGCAATTATTCACTGCCCTACCAACCATTTCTGGAAGTCTAATTTTGATCTCCTTGGTTAAACAATGAAATATTCAGATTAGCACAAAGTGGGCCTAATTTTCCATGCCCTTTGTTGAGCTTTTATTAAATGTTTCTACTCTTTAAGAAACATCCTGCTGACCATCCCTGTCTCTTTAGGTAGTTAAGTTGAAATGAAAAGGGTTTTTTGTATCTTTCCTCATATAAATGTCCTGAGGTCAAAATCCAGCAAGCTGATTCTGCTTGCTTAAAAGAAAAACACTGCACATGCTTGAATCTTTGCAACAATCCAATCAGAACCCTGGCAGCTCTAACATAGGCTGTTTTTGGCACAGGTAGGCAGAGGCTAATGTTCTATTAAAACTGGTATCTGTAAGGGAACTGACTAACTTTTGGAAACATCTCAGGTTATCTGATCTGTAGCAGTATGTTTGATCTTAATGTTAAGCATGCAACAATGCTCAGGCTATTTGCAGTTTAGTCAAGACAATTAAACCCTCTTATACAGAACAGTCCTTGCTTTCAATGTCTTTATGAAGAAGCAATTCCCTGGGGAGGAGCTTTTATGTGGAATAAAGTCTTTCTGTACTATCTTCAGATGTGGTATAAGCAAGATTTGGTGTTCTCAAGAACAGCCCAGGTGAGACAGTGGTCAGTTCTGTATTAGTTAAACTAATCTATATTCCATATTAGGTGAAATTGATACTGTCTATATCTACACGAGAGAATAACTCAAGTTTTTCAGTTAGCTTTAGAAGCTTTTCCTGTATATCCATAATAAGTAAAATGACAAACTGAACAGAAGCAAATCAGTGGATGCATTTAATCAAAGGGAAAACACCCTCTGCTATTAACTGGAAGGTCTTATTTAAAGCAAAACAAGGTTTATACAGCTCATTCACCAGTACTGCTGCATATTGGTAAACCTGTGTAACTCTTACTTCCTGTAGCAGAAGTAACACATTCTTCCCATGGGCTAACAGCTTGCAGGGTACAGGTCAGTAACTTTGCCCTACTGGTACCTCTTGTGGGAGGTTGTGTAGTGCTACCCAGTCAGAAGGGCACAGAATGGATAATGCTGCAGTTGGGAATGACCCAGCCCACTGTGGGTCCATGTAGTCAGCTGAAAATAGTACTGCCTGAACTTTACCTGAGCCAGAATGTCACTGTAAAGCCCACCAGAGCACCAGCCCACACCTGACTTACTATTAAGTGCACTAGTGTGAGCCGATTTTGCGTACTCCCTGTAGCTGTACCACAGAGCCTAGACTCCAAGCCTGAATTCTGGCTCATGGTCCTGTACCTAAGTCTAACCTCCCTTGCAGCTGTGTGAGTGACCTGATGTCTCCTTTCTTGTCAATATCAATGGTTTGCACCAGACCTGTTCCCTGTTAAGAGGATGATTGTATGCAGCAGTGTGAACAATGGGTCACCTCCAGCTTTAATCTCCTGCCATTTCACACTGACTGCTGAGTAGATAGAAGAACTCCAAGCAGGGGCATACATTTTTATTTTAAAAAGACACTTATAAAATGCTGTTTATAAAACTTGAATAAATATTTTCAAGATACAGATGTAAAAACCACAGTACCATGAAAGCTCTTTATAAAAAACAGTGAATTACAGCACATTACTTCAACCATATACACTTCCCCAAGGGCGAACCTGAAAGGAGACTACTTAAAGCAGTACAGTAGGTTGACATTTTTAGTTTAAATTTCTTTTGCTCTTTAAAAAGCTAGTAAGTAACAGCTGCCAAAAAAATAAGATTAAAATCTGATTAAACAAGCTGTTAAACTAGAGGTTACAAGCTTGACTGAGCACATGCTGGAGTTTATTTGCTATGCTGTTAGGCTAACTTTTGGAAGTGGGTGGGAAAGTCAAAGCTGCAAGAAGTGCTAACCTAGATTGTCTAGTTGAAATCTAACAAGCAATAAAGCCACATTGACAATGCATGGGGTTACAGAGATTCTGGTTTTGTCTTAAACTGCATGGTGACAGAAATGAACAGCCTATGAAGATCACTAGTATACTATGCTGACTATCTCAGTGCATTGTGAGGCAGTGGTTTAGGGATTGTAGTGACATAAACCAAGCCTGGCTGAGTTACAGATGATGTAGATTAGCCTCAATACTCTTCCTAGGAATTCACACTGCATTCATCAGGGTAGTGGTTACCAACTCATCTCTGCTTAAGTCATAGAGAACTTGAAGTGGTGGTTTCAGTCCAGTTCTTACTGGCCAAGAGGCTGTCTCAAGAATTCACACAGGACAGGCTGTACTATGCTTCGTGCATGATCTTCTAAAAGAAGGTGGTTCAGTCACTTCAGCAACACTTGCCTCCTTCAAGCCTCCACACATCCCAAACCTGGGACCTGCACAGAAGACCTCCATGCACTGAGTGATCTGTGCATGGGGATGGTATGGCCTGGGAGGACTTCCAGCTGGGAGACCTAGTGGAGGACAGGGCCAAATTCCTGCCAGTGTGGGCTAATCCCTGATGTTCCTCTCTGGTGGGTTTTTGGGGGGGAGGAAGAGAATAATTCCCTTACCACCACCCTTGCCCATTTCTGCAGCAGCCTGCTGGAGGAGGCCATGGTTCTGCTGATGCTGCTCCACTGTGCACAGAAGCTTCACTTTGCACCTTTGAGAGCAATGGCTGCTAGAGCCAGGGTTTGTAAGGCACATAGAGCGCTGCTTGGAGGAAAGGAGTTACAGAAAGATCCTAAGATACGTAAAAAATAAAATCCCTGCAGGGTTTTTGGGCTAATTGCAAGTCAGACAGCGCAGGCCCTGTGGGGCATCTCCTGGAAGACCAGTCTGACTGCACAGTCACAGCCCCATGGGGACTATGGTGGCTTTAAGGCACATTTTGATCCCTGATTCTCAGCCCTGGCAGCAGAGCTGGCAGCTCCATCTCCAAGGAGAGATTATGGCAGCCCCCTACAGCAGGGGTGAGGAATCTTTAGGGTTGGGAGCCCCTGACCCACAAAAAAAAAAACCACCACACCCCCAGGCAGGAGCTGTATCAGAGTGAGAAGCAAAAAACCTACCTCAGTGATATGGCCACAGGCAGAAGGCATTCCCCTTGCACTGTAGAGTGTTGGAGGGTCCAGGCTAGTACATGGGGGGGCCCTCCAGGCAGTGCTTTACTGCACTAACGGAGGAGGAGCTGCAGCGCATGGAGTCTCTTCCCCACCAGGTAGAGCCCATAGACTGGATCTGGCTTTCCTAATCAGCCCATGAGGCTCTGGGGCTTCAGCTCCCCACTTCTGCCCGACAGCATCACCCCACCCATCACTTTCTGCACTAGAGGATCTTTTCCCCTTACCAAATCCTGGTCTTTCATGGCCCATCACTGCCACAGCCGTTCACAGAGGCTAAAGCAGGAGGGAAAATCTGGCTTCAAGTGCAGAAAAAGAATGAGGTGGTAACACAAATACCCACAGAATGCTGCAGAGAAAACAAAGGTACCTAGCAAACTTCGCTGAGAACAGGGAAGGGGGTTGCTGACTTGGTGCAATAAAATACACCACCACAAGTCACCCTCAAAGCCCTTGACTGACACAGATTCTAACGTAGCTGCTTTATATGCAGGAGTTGTTTCGGTTACTGTTTGATGGGACTTCTTACCAAATGTCGCCCTGCTAGAATGCATATGCAGTAAATTAGGCGGTTCCATGGAAGAAGAGAGGAAAAAACCCACTCATCCTCACGGCACTGGGATCGAGAGTATCCAGACACAAATGGCCTTTACGTTGTAGGTGTGTTATGACTCCCACTTGCAAGCAATGACTGATTCTTGTTTAATCAGGCAGCACTAGCCAAAGGGAGAAGTAGCCTGAGCTCTGCAATCCAGAAAGGTGATGGTTTTGGAATGTGTCTTGGTGGAATGTCAGATTTGTCCCAGCAGGAGCACCTGGTAGCCACAGGCAGGGTCCTCACTAGTAGTTGGAACTGTGCTTGTCAGCTTCCAAATGTCTGCTTCTGCAGCAGATGGCAATGGAGGCTGCCCCTTTGCCCCCAAGGGCACTTGTTACCACGCAAGTGTCATCCACAGCGTAGGCGCCAAGGGTGCCAGGACCCCAGGAATACGCATTGCAGCCGGTCAGAGTCCAGCCATCACCACAGGACACTGCCACCTGCCAGGAAGAGGGACAGACTCACTCTCAGAACTGGGATAAGCAGGGACTGCTTCGTGTATTTCAGTGGCCGGAGTGAGACACAGTAAAGCAGGTTTCAGAGTAGGTGGGGGGCGGGAAGGGGATGGAAGATCCATTAGGAGGTCGTAAGAACGATGGCTATAGCCAGCAAACGGCTTCTGAAAAGGCCTCCAGTGACTGGTTCTGCCTTACCTTTTCTTGGAAGCCCATAGGTGAGTGTTCCTTCACCTTGCATTCAATGCTGGGGGCGTGGCAGCAGGAAGTATGCACGGCCACATCCACTCTACCAACGCATCGGTGCTGTCCGGTCTCCATCCCGAGAACGGGTCTGACACTGTCACTAAACTCTCCAGCAAGAGAATGGGAGCTACAGCCTGCCGAGAGCACAAAATACTTCAAGGTGAATGCGCAAAGCCTGCTCGTTAGCAATCCAGGGTCAGGGACATTGGCTTCTCTTGAAAACCATGAAGCAGAAAACAGCATGCATGGAATGGTGTAGGCCAGGGCACATCTCTGCCAGAGCACCTCAATCTGGACATGAATGCTCCCGAACATCAACAGGGGCTGCTCTAGAGTGGGAGATGCCACTCAAACCAGCATGGTAATTGTGATATGTGGACAATAGGTATGTTAGATATTGGGTAACTGAACAGTTGTGTAACCATACAAAATAGTCACTTACACGACTATTCGATAGTCCCTGGGGGGTGGGGCCAGCAGCCAGTGTGCTCCTGACCCCACTCCCAGGGAAGTCCTTTGCCACGCCATGCTGCTGCCTCTGTATCAGAGGCAGCAGCACAAGGTGGCAGGTGGCGCCAGTCCACAAGGGGAATCCGATTGAAAACCAGCTCCATTCACGAACCAGCTGCCTGCTGCTCTGTGCTGCTGCATCCAATACAGGGGCAGCAGCGTGAGGAGGCAGTTAGTTGCGCCTGTCCATGGGGAGGGGGTGGGGGGTCCAAAGTTCCCTGCAGACAAAGGCTGCTCCATGGGACACAGAGGAGCCACTGTCAGCAGCGAACTTGGACCCCTTCCTCCCCCCCCCCCACAAACAGGCCAACAGAAGCAGCAGTGCAGAGCCAGTGCTGGGAGAAGCCAGCTTTTAAGCCAGTTGCCCTTGCTGGGTGGGCAGGCAGATTCGGTGTTCGTGGGGAGCCAGCTTTTAAGGCAGCTCCTCACAGGCACTTGCTCCCGTTCCCGCTACCCACCACGTTGCTGTCTCTATATCAGAGGCAGCAGGGTAGAGGAGGAAATGCATGTAGTCAACAAAATTAACCAATAAGCCTGGGCTTATCCGTTAATCGTATTGTCAACTACACGTTGACCTCCCTACTGGACAATACACTCTGGAAAATAAGATGAGACCCAAACATGTTACCCTGCTTAGGTCATAAGTATTTCGTTTCAGACATCAAGGCTAAAAGGATCCATTTCGCAAACCTCCAGCTATCCAGGAACTGGAACCTACAAACAACAGCCAGAGTGTTTTGAGTCACTGAACCTGCCTGCATGCTAAGGGAATACGTGTGTGTCGCAATCAGCCCTGTGAGGAGAGCGTGACGTATTGGGAACATATCAGACTAAAGCATCAGTTTGGGAATTATCAAACCAGCCTATGCAGCACATAAAAATAAATCCAAGGACCTCCAAGCACTATAAATATTGAACTGAACTGAACTTCCTAAGGGGATGTGGCAGGATGATTCTGATTGTACGTGTGACTGATCAGCTAGGCAGAGAGACTGTCTGATAAATTCTGTGATGTTTAGAATTAATTCTAAGACTCTCAAGAGTTCCTTTTAAATTGCATCTCTCATTTGCAAAGAACAGGCCGGGCCAGTTTCACACCAGAGAGAGCAAGCCTCCACTAGTTATCCTCAGCAAGACAGCTACCGTACCTGTCAAAACGTGGTTCTCCTTGGAGCACCCCACTCCGGCTGTCAAAGTACCATCCGCAACCTGGGAACTGGTGTGAGTCTGGCAGTCAGCTTTGGGCCAAATGCAACACCTCGCTATAGCATAGACACCATGGCCACCAAATGCATTGTGGGCCACACACTGCTTCCCGCCTCCATGAACCTACAATTCAGAAAGCATCATCGTAAGGTGATGTTTTGGACTCTCCTAGTCCCTACCCACTGGCGCTGCAGGAGCCGTCAGGCTGTTCCCCACCCATGCTGGTTTGTAAATCCGATAGTACCCCACCCCTCCCCAGGGGGAGCATCACCTCGATACGCTCTCCTCGCCGCTTGCCGTTCGGGGAGTAGCTGGAGCAGCTCAGCATCTCCTCGTTCCCACTGCAGCGCACGATGGCTGTCGCGGAGCGCATCGGCCCGGACTGGGCAGACCACATGGAGCGGCAGTACAGCTGCTCCTCTGAAAAGGCACAGCTCAGACATTAGTCCTGCACAGCAGGGTTGCTTCAAGTCTATCCGCACCCTCAGCAGCACAGAGGTGAAGTGACTGTACAAGGGGCCCCGTTCATTCAGGAGTGTAGGTAAAGTGACAAGGAGCCGGCTCAGTTCCCCTCAAAGCAGCACACCGAGCTGATCCTCAAACGCGAGCCAGACCTGCTGCTCAGGGCCCGCAGAAACTCCCACCAGGTTACCAACTTCCTCATGTCAGAAAACCAGACTCCTCCCCCCCCCCACTGCTCTGCTACAGCCTCAAGGCCGTGCCCACACTTTGCTCACTGCTAGACTCCCACCCTCTCTCCTACCTGCTTGATCCTTTCCTCCTTCCCTCCCCCGCCTGGGCTTCCTCTGCTCCTGGACTGGAATGAGGGCTGCTGCCTGCCCGCCCGCCAAATACAGGTAAGGTGTCCCCTGCTAAACAAGGACTGGTACCGATTCATGATTTGCCACCTCACCTGCCACTCTGCCCAGTGTCACTGGATGTTTGGTGTCCAGGCAGTACACCTGACAGGATACTGCCAGGTCTCCTTTTTCACTGGACTCTCTGGTTGAAAATCCAAACATTCCCTCCCCTCCCCAGGCAACCCAGCTTTTCTCACACGAATCCAGAACAGCCAGGTCACACAGGAGAACGTAGCTTATGCTTACAATACAATTAAACCCAAAGCCAGCCTGTGTCTGCTAACTCGGCCTAGAGCTAAGGGGCTGTTTAAGGGCCATGTTCTTCACCTGAACATCTACACTGTAATTGCACAGCTGATACGGGCCACCTGTGGGGGTTTCACTGCCGTGCAGACTAACCAGCAAGGAGAGCTCCAGCCCCTAAGCGCCCATCACTTCAGTCACACACCTCTCAGCCTTAGCAAGGCCACGCTACCACCTGGAGCTTCTCTCCCTTTGCTGCACCGTGTAGCATTTGTGACTCACCTGTGGTGAGTTTGCTGGGCAGTCCTGCCACTCTGTTGGGTGTGACCAACCTCTGGTCTTCAGGAAACCAAGCCTCATTGATCACATTTTTGGTGGAGAAATGAATTAGCCTTTGCCTCAGCTCAGAGAGCGTCAGCGTGGAGTCGGTGTTCAGAACCATGGCTGCGAGGCCTAGGAGAGAAGTACGTGCATCATTTCCGTCTTAAAACGTTGATTTAAATGTGAAAACATGCGTAGAAAGCCCTGGTGCCATGGGATTTTCTTTGCAGTGTCCATGTACCCGCAGTCAAAGCAGATGGTAGATCTAAGCCATGGCAGTCCTGGGGCCATGCTCTCGAGTAGTGTGGCATCAGGCCACGTGCTGATGGCTTGTAGCCGTGTGTCCTGTAGTTCTAGCTTGCGCCTTTCCCCAGGGCAGCACCATGTCTGCAGGGCCCCACCTGCACTGCGTGATCCAAGTCACCTTCCAGCAGCCTCATAATAAATCACATTGTAACCAAGCCCTGTCTTTTCCATATTACGAGACACACAGCAGTTGTTTTCCGACAGGGAGAAAACATGGCTCGGCTTTGCAGCACAGATACTATTTGGTATCCAGGAGGTGGGCAGGCGTTAGCCCGCCCACATCTAAAGGACCTCCCCCTATCCTGCAGGGAGGGTCCACAGAACCCAGAAAAACCAACTAATTACTGGGGACAAATAATGAAAAAACAGGTATGGGTGTGAGTCAAAGGGTTAAAACGAGGGAACCAGATGGGGATACCGAGCAGAGAACCCCGGACAGCGCCCACTGCCCCCCGAAGGTTTTGCAGCACAGATGTATTACACAGCAGGGCCTAGAAACCCCAGGGGAGATCAGGCCCCCACTGTGCTAGGCACTGTACAAACACGTAACAGTCGCTGCCCCCCAGAGCTCTCAAGCTACACGAACAAAGGACTATTATCCTAGTGTCACAGATGGTGAACTGAGGCACAGAAAACTTAAGTGACTTCCCCCAGATAACCCAAGGCTCCACCACGGACTCCAGGAACTGAACGTGGCGCTCCCGAGTCCAACACCTCCCCTCCCCCATCAGAGGAGGTAGGACTCATGTTTTAACCACATCCCCCACGGTGTGATCGAATCCAGTTCTGCACAGGTTTGCACTTATGCTAGTCAATGCAGTGTGTTGTGCTGGGGATGGTTCATTTTACCCTGCTAAGACACATGGTCACACAGCCACTACTGCCTGATCCTATGCCTGCATTTAAAAAAAAAATTAAAATCAGTTCACCTGCTACATGTGCAGCAGCCTGGGATGTCCCACTCTGGGAAGTGAAGCAAGTACTACAGTCACTTGAGGCCCCGATGATATCGTCACCGGGGGCAAAGACATCCACGCACCGGCCAAAGTTTGTTCCTAAGGTTCCCATGGAGGCAGGCTGGTCCTGGAAATCGGTTGCCCCGACAGTGATCACCTAAGGGTTACAGTGTAATGAGACAACTGGGACTTCGGCAGCAGATGGAGGGTATGGGACGTCAGTGTGTGTTGAGTCCAATTTAAATGAGTGACAGGTGTATTTGGGAGGAGACGGGAGCGAGGGCATTACGCTGCACTTGAGACCCTTTCAGGCTCAGCAGTAAAACGTGACGATCATTTTGAAAGCAAAAGCTGGAGGCCATGTGATCACACAAACTCCCAAACAAATGTCCCGCCCCCCCGGCCTGTACAAGGCGAGTCAACAACATTTTGCCTTCGCAGGAACACAAAGCCACACCCCCTTCAGGGCTGAGGGAGCTGTAAGAGACCAGGACTATGTGACCCCCTCAGGATGCGGCTGAAAGGTCTTCGCAAGGGCGGGGGTAGGCAGGAGCACTGAGCTCCTTCCAGCAGGAGCTATGTGCTTTGGGGTCTGGAGCTACGGCCACGACAGGAATCAAGGACACGCAGGCCTAATAACCCTCTACCTCCCGTACAAGCTTCCTGCCAACCACCAAGTCACCCTCCATCTGCCACAAGGCACAGTGGCCCCAGCCAACAAGGAAGGGGCGGGACCTGGGAGTCGCAGGCGGCAAAACCACCTCATAACATTGGACGGGCTGCAATATCCCAGGTAGTGCAAGCAAGCACTCAGCACTGCCCCCAGACCGTTAACAGGCCCCGAGCATAGGGAATGCGATCTGGTGCTTTTCAAGCACCCCCTGCAAGAAAGCACCGGGGATAGGGGGGCATTTTGCCTTCCTATTTAGGGAGCTCCAGAGAAGCTGCAGGATGGTCCGAGTATTCCCCCAAGAGCGGGGATTACAGGAGCAAGGGCAGCCATAAAGTCTTATTCCCCCGCTTGTAACACACACTGCGGTGAGGACTATGCCTCATAACACACTATATCCAAAGGGCAGGAAATAACTTATCCCATCTACACCCAGGGAAACGGAGGCACAGATGGGCTGACATGCCTCGATCAAGACCAAACAGCCACCGAGTCAGGAACAGAAGCCAGGTCTCAATGAAAGCAGTGTGTCCCAGCCCCATACCTCCGGTTCAGACGCAGGGGAGTACAAGCAGGCATCCTCCTTGTAGTTGCCAGCTGCAGCTATCATTACCACCCCTGTCTGCACCATCAGCCGACAAGCTGCATTCAGAACACGGCTGTAGCCTCCGGCAAAGGGGAGCAGCACCACTAGGGGGCTGTAGAGCTGGGCAGTCAGGGTCTTCTTGATGAACTCCAGGCCTGTTGATCAAGTACAAGTGAAACTGACAGAAGACTCTCAGAAAAGGATCTAAAAAACTCACTCGCATCCTGCAATTGGGGGCCAGTGTCGGCTCTCCCCTCCCGCCGGAAAGACTCAAGATCCTTTTCATGTGAATGTTCTTAGTAGTAACACACAGGGAAAGGCCTGGCTCCAACCCAGCCCGAGAATGCTGGGTGCGTAGCCCTGTTTTCCCTCCACAGTGTTCACTCCCCTTCACCAGGGGGGTGAGAAAAAGCAGTTAACCTCTGTCCTCTCGAGTGCACCCTGTCACAGGCTGTTCAGAGGCAGATCGGGGTTAGGGACTAAAGTCCTGCGTTTTCAAGAGAGCTTAGAAGAGTGAGTACAGGGCCCTTCAGAAAAAAATCTACCTTGGTACATGAATGGGTGTTGAGCACTAGGAGTGTGAAAGTGTAACCATGTCAATGGTTACCTAGGAGCCTGGGCTCATCTGTTAACATTCATGGTTACATGCAGGCTCCCAGTGTGCACCAGCAGCCAGGGAACCACCTACTGCCCTGTGCTGCTGCCTCTGATACAGAGGCAGCAGCACAGAGTAGCAGGCAGGGGCCAATACATGCAGGGAGCCAGCTTAAAAACTGGCTCCCCATGTTCACTGGCTCCCAGGGAGCCGACTGCCCTGCGTGTAACCATGTAACTGTTGAAAGTTTCAGCAGTTACTTAATTGCACACATTTTAACATCCCTATTGAGCACCTGAGACAAGCCAGCCCCATAGGCCTGAAGCCAATGGGTGTTCTGTGCACATTGAAATGGCCAGGCCTAAAATCCCACCAGTCCCATCGAGAGAGACAAACAGACAGACACACACGTTACTCACCAATCAGGGTCCCGCTGACTGTGCCCTTGCCTTGGCAATTCAGCACGCGAAGGCTGCGCACACTGGCTCCCTTCGCCACGCCAGCGTCCCTGCCACTCACCACCCCAGCCATATGGGTCCCATGGCTGTCACACTTGCTGGCCTGCCAGAGAGGGGAAGTCAGTCCAGGCAGCAGAGATTTCCAGAGCCATTCCACTGGCAGCAATACGCACGCTGGGAGCTCACTCCTGCACACACTTCCACGTGCACTCGAGTGGTTGCACTGACCTCAACAGAGGGACTCGTGCATGTCCACGTCTGCAGGATCAGGCCCTTTATGTGCTACCACCATTCCCATCATTGCACTAGTGCGCTATTCTCTAGTGCAGCAATTCTCAAACGTTTAGGGCTCCGGAGCCCTTTACATGCATAAAAATTTATGCGGAGCCCCAGCGGTCCACTGATTGTATGTGTTGTACCTATCGATGTTTCCAGTTTGTCAACCCCACAGAGCCCCTGGAGATGTCTCGCGGAGCCCTGGGGCTCTGAGGAACACAGTTTGAGAAACGCTGCTCTAGTGCATTAGCCAGTTTCAATCCCCCTGCTAACACTGCTGAATTGTTCTGCACTAGTTATTAACCAAATTCCTTCAATTAACCACAGCCCTGTGTCTGCTGCGCTAAAGCAAGGAAAAAAATCTATTCTACGTAACACAGGAATTCTTGACTGGATCAGACCCATAGTCCATCCTCCAAGCCTAGGACCCTGACTCTGACAGCAGCTAGCACCAGATGCGGGACAATCTGCCCCCTAGGAAGGTGAGATGCTGATCCCTAGTAGTTAGAGACAGGCCTCAGCCATGAAGTATGAGGTTCTCTCTTTCCCAAAAATCTTTGTTCACATTAACTCTGGAGAGTCTCATTATCCATATAACCAGGGCTCGCCAAGCGGCGGCAAGCCCCGCTCGCCAGCCATGCGGTTTCGTGCGGTTCTGCGCAGATCGCTCTGCGCTGGCACTTCGGGTTGTAATCTACTCGCCATTGGCGAGTAGATTCCATTATTTGTCGAGCCCTGCATATAACCATCTTTGGTCAGCACCTTCCATTCCCACTGAAAGCTGTGGGCTGTGAGCTGAGATGCAGATGTTCTTAGCCTTAGATTTGCTAAACATTACAAAACTTTGCCCACTATTATGTGTAGAGAGGTGGCAATTGTGCAGGGTGTCAGCATGCTCCTGATCACATCCTGATCCTGAACCCAGGGTAAGGATGTGAAGAGGTGGGTATATTGGCTATACTATTAGTTGATAATGGAAGGCACTCAGTCCTGGCTTACGCTGGGTCCCGGAGCTACCCCTGCTGTGGCTCTGCAGTTTAAATGTAGTAAGAGTTGGGTGCACAGGCAGCCCAGATCTTACTATAATGTAGAGGTGCAGCAGAGATAGCTCCCGGACCCAGCGTAAGTCAATACTCAGCAAGCCCAATTCGTGCTGAGTCTGAGACCGCTGCAGCTATTATGTTTGGGGGTTGCCTGAATTTTCACAAGTTCAGAATGACAGAGTGAAATCTTCCATAGAAAACCAGCACTTTTTCATGCAAACTGTAATCAAAACCTCCATTTCCCACTGACGAACAGTTCTGACAGAAAACTCTCGAAGGCAGGACCCTGACAGAGCGCAGAGCTTCACTCACCTGTCTGTGAAAGCGTGTGCCATCCTCTTCTGGCACGTTCTCAAAATCAGTCACAAAGACTCTTCCCTCTATCTCCCGGTGGTTGCTCTGGATGCTGGTGTCTAGTAGGTAAACCTCGACCAGATCTCCTTTATCTACCAAACACAAGCCCCAAGGCAGTCAGTGTGAAAGACAGCAATGCCCTCAGAAAACATACACATGGTTACAACCGGCGCAGTCACCAGTCCTGCTCCTTAGCCAATGGCACGCAGATGTTCTCTGGGTACTGCCATCTTACAAACCACACTGCTTCATTTTTACAGCAAAATTACCAACTCCTGCAAACAGTGGCTTGCAAGGGGGGAAAACCCCACAACAAACAGTGCACCCATCCACTACCAATATAGAGCCCAATCCTGCAAACTCTGCAAGCACATGACTTACAGGGTAGTTATGCAAGCTCCCTGCCCCCCAGACCCATGTCCATAGTGGTTTCTTCTGTTCTCAACTCCATCTTCCTAAGGAATTATGAATGGCACTAATGAGCTGGAGGGGGAGCAGGAGAAAACAACATAGACAAGGGCTCTGCTCCAGATGATGCCAACCTGCCCTGTCCTCACAAGGTTAAGTTTATCCCCGATTTGGAGAGGAACATTACCATGAAGAGTTGATTGGCTCTGTCCCCTTCTAACTAGCCATGCCCCCCTCAAAGCCTGCCAAAAGTGCCAAATTCAATGGAGACGAGGACATTGGTCCCACTGGGGTAGGGAAAAGGGTTTGGTCTAGATTTGTGTTCTCCTTCCTTTCTGCATACACCTGGAACTACATTTGCACAGGTTTCCTAACTTCTCTGCATGCAATTGCGGGGGGCAATTTTGCCCCTGGAAATAATCCCGTCCCACAAATTTTCCTTAAAATAAACTCCAATGAGGGGAAAAGAAAAACAACCCCTTACTGGGAGGGTTATATTCTCCAGACTTGCGCTGTGCTGGGACAATCCTATCGAGGTTCCAGGGAATGCTCTGAGCAAAAACGTAGGAGTCCTCTTCGATGTAATCCACGTGCGGCAGCCTCAACGCCTGTGCAAAAGAAACAATCGCAGAGAGGTGGGCTGGAAGGACACCGCCTATCTACTGAATACTCAGGGCACACCATGAAGAACAGAAACAACCTGGGAGGCTCTCAGCTGTTCAAACTACCAGCTTCATTGCACCAGGCCAGGGGAAAGGCTGCAGCTGCCCATGGCAGGTGGCTTATTCTCTCCTAAATAGAGACCTAGGCTCTGACCCTGCACCACTGAGTGCTCAAGTCAGGCCCAACCAGCAGGATTAAACACCCATGTGTGTTGCATGTGGGGAAAAGCAATGTGAAGACAATCCCAGACATAGAGGTGATAGCGGAGGCACAGATCTGGCTGCCAGGTAAAGGGGTTCTACACCTCACTATCACATTCATTTACTAATTTCCATGCCTTCATTCTTCTGAGGTTCAATTCAGCAAAGCCTTCTGAGATCCCCAGGTGGAAGGTGCAAAGCATAATTACAGAGAGCAGTGCCAGGCACTCCCTCTGCCAAGGATGCAGTGCTGCACTGGGAGCAAAAGGGCTGACCTCAGACTCCAAACTCAAGTTGCCACATGGCAACACACTGCACTGCAGCCATCACCCCAACAGCATGACAGGGTAGGGGTTTGGAGAGATGCAGTTGCTGGCGTTCATGTCTGCAACTGCAAAATGATTGTCCTAATACAGCAACAAATTGTAAATGGCCCTGCCTCTGAAATTTGCAGTAGCCCAATCAAGAGAGAACACTAAGTAAAACAGCTTCCTTAACTGAGTTTCTTCTCGGGTGGAATTCCACACTCTTCTCACAGTCGCCCCCTCAGCAGAGGAGCATGGTGGGTGGAATACCTGGGACTTGCATCACCTTGGATTCCTCATTGGACCTACCTTACTTGGATTCTTTTGGAGTTTTATAGGCCCAACATTCACAATTTGTTTCAAACATCAGTGAGATCCCACACAAAACAGCAGGCATCGGAAAGATGAGATGCAAAAATCAGCACAATGATTTTTGTCCCTCTCCAATGACAGTGGATTTGCCAGATGAGTCAGACCCAAAGTCCACTTAATCCAGATTCTGTCTAGGTCAGTGACTGGCGCTAGATGCTACAGAGGAAGTTACCACAAGCCTCCTGCAGGCAGTTACGGAATAATCTACCAGCAGGAAAGTTTCTTCCTTAGCCCTGTAAATTAGAGATTTGTTTATGCCCTGAAACAGGAGGATTTACAACCCTTGCAAACGTGGATGGAGAGGTTGGTATTTTAATCCTTACTCTTGCAACTCTAGGGCTACATCTACGCTGCAGGCTTCTTGTGCAAGAACTTTTTTGCGGAAGAGTTCTTGTTCAAAAGGTCTTCCGCAAGAGCACGTCCACACTGCCATGTGCTTTTGCGCCATAGTGTCTATGGCAGTGTGGACGCTTCCTTGCGCAAGAAAGCTCTGATGGCTTTCTTGCGTAAGAAATTCATGTTGCCTGCCTACACTGCCTTCTTGTGGAAGAGCTCTTGCACACGAGGGCTTATTCCTCGTGGGGAGAGGAATAACTCTTCCGGAAGAAGCCCTGTTTTCCGACACTGTACTGTAAATTTACTTGCGCAAGAATGTGCATGCAGTGTAGACACTCAGCAAGTTTTTGCACAAGAACAGCCGTTCTTCGCAAGAAGCTGCCAAGTGTAGACGTAGCCTAGGTGTTCTCACTATCTAGTGTGACAGATGTTCTGTAGCTTGGAACCTGTTACTTCCAGCCTATGCTGCTTTCCTTCCTGCCTTTAGATCTGTGTTTCTTGCCTCAAACTATTACCACTGGGGAAAAAAGCCAACTCTCCACATTCCCTGCCCTCTCCCAGATGCCTCCAAACAGAAAACAAAACCAGTGCAAGCAGAAAAAGAGAGTTTTGCAACATCCTCTTACCATATCCAGCACATCACTGCTCATCTTAACGACAAAGCCCTGGAACAGATCCTGGAAGATGTGCAGGATTTTGGTTAGGTAGCCATGCTTCGCTGCCTGAGCTTGCAGCCTGCGGATGGTTCTCTCTGTCTGGGATTTATGAGTTTCCTCCTTCAGCACCACTATGTACTGGCCAGGTAATCTCCACATGTCCTGGATTTAAATGAGGAGAAGCAGATTCTTCAAAGCCATGCACCTTCACAGAGCAAGCTCAGCTGCTGGAGCTGTTACTTTAATCAGCACAGCAGAGTTCATTTTGTAATGGGACCTAACACGTGAGCAGAAGGAAAAAAATTGTGTGCAGTACTGTGAGCCCCAGCCAATTAAAAATCATGAGATTACTTTTTTTTTTTAATCTCATGACTGAAGACAATTTGGGGTGGGGTGGGACGGCACCTGCTGCCAAACCTTCCCTCTGCAAAGGTAAGAAAAGAGCCCCAGTGCTCTGTTCCCAGAGTCATGCAGTTGGGTCTATGAAGGCTTGAGAACCAGGGGCTTAATCAAATCCCCGAAGAGGTAGAAAGCAAACTAGTAAGGCACCAGGTTTATGGCTTTCTGGTTTGAGTCTGCAGCATGCACTTGAGTCACATTTCCAAACTTTTCTCTGCAACCATAAGGGCTAGAAATTTACCAAACAAAAGGAAGATTTGTACCTAATCACTTCACTCAGGAGCTGGGACTTGACGAAAAGTACCTAACACCATGAGATTCACTGAGCCTGTATTGTACCTACAGTGAGGCACCGAGCTGCCAGATGAAGTATTCAGGTCATGGGAGGATGCAGGTGCCAGGTCCATTCAGAGCCTAATGTAAGCATGAAATAGCCCACACTTCTCATTAACCTTCATGGACACAGACGCTGTCAATGAGAGTCGTGGCAGCTGCATTATGCTTGGAAAACATCTTACCAAGCCCCACAAAAGTGTGAAGTCACCAATTCATCATGGGAAAGGGGGTACTGCAGCTTTCTGCAAGGGAAACAGAGAGGGGTTTAGCCCTGGATAGAAGGCAAGGGTGTGGCAGTTCAGCAGACAATCTCCAGCAGATGGGAGACCAAACTAGCACCATTCCATATAGTGTTCGCTGTAAGCTTGGGCAGCCATCCAGGAGAGATTCAAATGCTGCCTAACTGATTAAAAGAGCACCCACAGCCAGCACTGTGTTTCTATTGGTGGTGCACATCTGCACATGCCCTGGTGCACTCAACAAAATTTATTCCACACATGGATGGGGAAAAAAAATTGAGGGAACATTGATTCCATGTGCTCAACTCCACCCTCAGTGACCAGATCCCTCCTTCACCCTCAGGACATGCCAGTCATCCTCCTATCCAAATGCAGCTCCAAGCTGCATTAACCAGACCCACACCTGCTGCCAAACCTTCTTTCTGCAAAGGTAAGCAGAGAGTCCCAGAGCTCTGTTTCCAGAGTCATGCAGTTGGGTCTATGAGGGCTCAAGAACCAAATCCCCGAGGTGGGAAGCAAACTAGTAAGGCACCAGCCCCTTACAGCTGCAACATGCGAATGCCACGTGTCACTGCATGCCCCGGCTTCCCAATGTGCCTTCCCTAAGCCTCTTTTGCAAGCATGGCTGCACTGCAACCCGCCAGCCCTACATGCTCCACAGCCCAAGGCCTCTACCCAGACTAGCAGGCACGTGGCTTTATTTATTTGATTTCGCTGGCTATCACAGGGCCCAAGGGACCTCAGCAGAACTCCCAGGGAGGGCACCTTGAGAAGTTGGCATCGGCCAACCCCGCTTGCTATCCCCGCAGCACAGCTGCCTCTCGCCTGCCGCACAAGAGGCTGTAGGCATGTCACTGGCTCTCATCCACCTCCCCATCACCCCAACCCGCAGAGCTGGACCTTCCAGCGGGAGGTCCCATAGGTGGGCGAGCAGCAGCGCACCTACCGCCTGCACAAGTCTCGCTATTATTTGTGATTTATTCATTTTATTGGGGGGGGGGAGGGGGATCAGGTCCTGCCCCCTGGAGAGGGAGTCTTAGGAAGGGAAGAATAGGGGGGGGGAGCTCTTGCCCCTGGCAGAAAGGAGCCCTTGGGAATGGGAAGAGAGTTGGAAACTGCTGCCACCACCCCCAGGGGAAAGGACTTGGGGAGGGATGGGGCGAGTCCTGCACGGAGTGGGAAGCTGGGGGGAGGGGTGCAGCGTGCACCTCACCCCACAGCAGCAGCCAGCGGGGGAGGGGGCGAGTCCTGCACGGAGTGGGAAGCTGGGGGGAGGGGTGCAGCGTGCACCTCACCCCACAGCAGCAGCCATGGGGTCGCGGTGCCATTGGCCCAGGCGCGCGGCGGGACGCCATACGCCAGGTGGCCGCGGTCGGAGCGTTGCAGGGCGGGGTGGGGGGGAAACTGAGGCAGGCGGCGGCTAAGGGACATGCCCAGGATCAGCCGAGGAGCCCGTGGCAGCACCGGAAAGCAGCTCCCCGGCCTCAGACCCACCCCCTCTCATTCTGCCCCAAGCGGCTCCTCGGCCCCCTGCCCGCCAGACCTGGGCGCACAAGTGGGGCTGCCAGGGCGACGGTCCCCGGGCGCTCGCTGCAGCCCCGTGCCCCTCGCCGGCTGCACCCAGCCCCGGGGCCGCTCACCTTGTTCGTCCTGTAGAAAGCGGCCGAGCCCAGCGGCTTTCCGACCTCCGTCTGGTTCTCCTCCTCCGAGGGGAAGGACAGCACCAGCTCGGCCTCCTCGTCCGGCTCATCCTCCGCAGCGGCGCCGGGGGCCAGCAGAGCCCGGGCGCCCAGCAGCAGCAGCAGCGCGCGGGGGTGGCGGCCCATGCTGCAGGGCGCCTTAGAACCCAGGGCTCGGAGCCTAGAACCCGACTGGCGCGCGCGGGCTGAGCCTAGAACCTGGCCGGCTGGCGCGCGAGCTGAGCTGAGCTGAGCTGCGCGGGGAGCCGGGCACAGTCTGCTCCGCCAGCTGCGGCGAATGGTAAATGCTCCCCTCGCACACACGCTCGGTGTTGCCACTCCCCCCCTCAGACTTTCACGTGCTTCCCGAAATCTTTTGGGCGTGGATGTGCCGGATCACGCCACTATTGTCCCATCGGACCATTCTAGCTTGTTAAACATTAATTGGAGTTCTACTCATCCATTGAGATCAGGTCTCTGCCCCCTTTTTCCTTCCTGGCGTCATATTACAGGATTATTTAAACAACAAAAAAAATACCATTCACAGCTTGAGCAAAAAAAAATGCTGATTTTTTTTCTGTGCATGAGCCCTCCAGATACACAGAGGAGAACAGTCTAACTAAATGCACCTCAGCAATGACTGCATTAATAGAGGGTGCTCTCTTTTATACTTTTAATGTGCATACAGTTTTATATATACATATTTCAAACTTCCTACTGGGGATTATTCTACCATATACAAGAAATAGTTGATTCCACTTCTCCGGGGTAAAATAAATTAACATTTTCCTCAGTACTTTGATCTCAGGAAAGAGCATATTTTCCAAGGGCAATGCAGGCCTTTCACACGATCATACTGAGCCTAGCCACAAGCAAATGCTAACAGTAAAACAGTAACACACACAGATGCAACCAATTAGCCCAGCTGGGGACAAGCCTTCTGACTGGAAGGCCTATAATAAGATGGGGCATGGGAAAATGCATTTGGTTTTTTTTTAAATTAGCAAAAATACATAGTTAAAATCCATTTCTAAAGCACACACTTAGGGTTTCCAGATGGTTTCAACAAAAATACTGGACACACTTGACATTACATCACGAGCTACATTACATCTTACTTAGAAAATACCAGACATTGATATTTTCTCAATTTGTTTCCTGAACAGAAAGCTCAAATACTGGACTGTCTGGTTCAAAACCTGACACCTGGCAACCCTACGCACATGCCCCCAGATAAACAATCCAGAAGGAGAGAATTTGTGCATAGCAGTTGTTAGTTGACATCCTGATGTCCCAGAAAAGACACAAATGGTAGTAGAAACTTTGGAAAAGAATCAACCTTAAAACTAGCTTTCAGTGCATAGTTCTGTATGATCCTCAAGGCAGGAATTCCTTGCTTTACTTGTCACACTTGACTTGACCTACTATAAAACCTTAGGATTAAAGCAGGGAAAATAAAATGGCTGCTCCATAAAATCCGGAGTGACCTGCAAACTAATCCCTGCCAAGATCTAGCTAAATTTAGAGTGAAATGAAAGCCAGCCCCAAGAAATATTAATAGCGTCATTATAAAATTAAAAGAACCCCTTCAGTCCACCATCACATGCGCTGTCTATCTACTTTTGTTATCACTTTACTGCACCTGCTCCTTTGAACAAAAGAACAGCAAACCTAGACTCATCGTTGGCAACCTACAGAGAAACCTATGTAAGACCACTGTAAGACCACTACTAGGAGGTGACATTGACATGCTGGCCTTAACAAGAAAGCATAATAGGGCAACAGGGACTGTGAACATTTACAGGCAACATGATTACAATGGGAGGTTGGTCAGGTCAAGAAAAAAAATCATGGACAGCGTGATTTTCCTATATGTCCATGATCTTTTTGTGTGTCAGTGATTCAACCTGTATCTGCAGTTCCTATGGCTCCTGCCCTATGGGTCTGGGCCTAGCGCCATGCTCTGGGCATTGCAACCCAGTTACGGGGTCACAGCAGTGCCCAGATTTGGCCCAGTCACCCCTCCATCATGATGGAAAGGAGAGAGGCAGTAGGCCAAACAAAAGCATCACTGCAATCACGGCACGTGGAACAGAGAGTCAGAATGTGGGATGGGTTCATTATCCAGCCCTTGCCTCCCTTCCCTGCTAGGTCAGGATTAGGTTTGAAGTGTGGGGGCAGAGGCTGCTACTGAGGGTGGTCGGTGCCCTTTATTTGTTGGGGCACTTTTTATAAAAAATTATGGTGCTGTCACTAAACCCTAACTTTTACTAAACTTACCATGACTCTGTTTTTTTATTTAAAAACACCATGACAGACCTGGCACCTTCAACCTGATAATTCAGTGCTTTGCACCATGGAAAGAAATGAAAAGAAAGAAACATTGGTCCAACATATGCCTTGAAATGGAACCTCCCTCAACACAAAACAAACCCAGACTCCAAATAACATTGAGCATTACTATTTTTAAGCAACTCATAATAATGTGAGAGCCAATTGCTGTTCACTTCTATTAAATCTTTACTGAGAAATGGGCCAAGACCTGTGACATTAATCAGGGGTCAGTTGGGGGAATTTCATTCAGGAATTCTGCTTGAAAACCAATGCCATGTTGTAGTGCCTCTATGTTTGCAGAAGAGCAAAGAATTGGCAGCATTCAAGTGTAATAACATTACAGAGAGGAGGAAGAAGCAATCCCTTCATAACCCTAATATATTCTGTTCAGACATTTTATTTTTGCTATTGATAACAAAAATCTAACTGAGACTTTCCATGCATTAGGAAGAGAGCTGGCAAATCAAAGCTAGAAGCTAAACAACTGTTTTCAGAGGATGGAGTTTGTAAGTCGCTTATGGGCTTAGTCTGGAGATGAATTTTCATAACAGACTCTAATCCTGTTTAGGATTTTTTACAGAAGCGTCACACACGGCAATGATTATTATTATTTTTTTAGTGTTCTGGTCTATATTTTTGGGCAGTTGTTAGGATTTCTTTGCTACAAAACCACTAGGAAATATTTAACATATCTGCTTGAGGACAATGTGCTTATACAGGGCAGCTTTGAAGCAGGAAGCCTTCAAAAATGTATCATAGTTTAGACCAAAATATACAGCATGTTGGAGGGCTTATTCACAGAGGCAGATAAGTTCAATACACTGGGCCTCAAGAGACCTGCATCCTGTTCCCAGCACTGCCACTGACCTTCTGGGTGACCTTGGCAAATCACATCACCTTTCTGTGCCTCAGTTTCCCCTTCAACTCATGTCTATTTAGATTATAAACTCTGCTGGACAGGAACTGTCTCCTTCTATGTGTTTGTACAGTGCTTTTCACTATGGGGCCCTGATCCTGGTTGCACTTCTAGGCTCTGCTGTGGCTAAATAGAAGTGCAGGTTATGCGATAATATTAAGAAATAGTAATTACATTTTACATTTAAAATCACTTTATTTGTATTTTCCAGTACTTTGGTCCAAATAGCATGTGCTGAGCAACTCTGAGAGACTCACACTAGCATTGCCTTGGTACAAATGAGTTATTACTAAGCTGAAATTTTCAAAAAGGCTCAATGGAGTTAGATACCAAAACCCATTGAAACTCAGTGGGAGTTTGGCACCAAACTCCCTTAGGGCCCTTTGAAAACCTGTGCTCTGTAACAGCTGCAGCATCAGGCTCTGGTTTTGGACATCCAGGTGCAAAAGCAATGAAATTAAATGGACCTTTGCAACCAAGAAGAGCTTGCAGCTAAACTCAAGGGGCCAAAACTAGGGATGTTAGCATGTAGTCATTTACACAATTAACTGATAAGCCTGGGCTTATTGATTAATCCTAACGACAACACTCATACACCCTCTTGCTGCCTCAGTATCAGAGGCAGCAAGGCGAGAGGTGGGAGCCAGTGCCCATGGGAAGTCAGCTTTTAAGCTGGCTTCCCACCATGCCGGATCCTATGGAGCCGCCACCGC